GATCCGAGATCATTCAATAATATGGGCAAGAATAGCGAGGAGAATAAGCAACAATTATAACTTTATTGTCACCCAAAATCAATGCCGCAATAAATGGAGGGCATTGAAGAGAGGTGAATCTTTTACAATTTGTGAATATTAGTAAATACTTTATTAATATATTTAATTAATAATAGGTTTCGAAAATTTGACCAGGATTAATAATGGTTTGTATATTTGAGGTTAATGTTAAATTTCTCAACCAATTCACATAAAACCAATTTTATTTATTTTAGGGAATCCTGATGGTCACCCGATCCACTCTCCCAACAATTACGATATTTGCTTTTTTAATGAATTAAGCGATGAATTCTGGCTGCAAACTAGTAATTGATTTGATCTTAATTATGATACTTTGTATATATTACTGATTCATTAAATTTATATTTACATTTTTTTCTTTTTATTTTAGACAGATTACGCAGGGTGTACCTGCAGCAGAGAGTGGATCGACAGACCTATAGGTATAGGGAACGATGCCGGCGTCATTCTCAAAGCCGTAGCAGCAGCAGCAACAGCAACAGCGATCAGAGGAGGAGAAGAAGAAATAGAAGAAGAAGAAATAGGAATTAAGGTAAATACTAATTAATCATGAATTTATAATTAGATAGATATATATCACTAATGCGTAAAACTATAATCTTATTCCATGAATTTTGCGAAAAATAGACCCTCCTTTCCTTTCGTTTTCCCTTCCCTTACTTTTCCCTTCCCCTTCTCCTTCACTTTCGTTTCCTCTTTACCTTTCGTTCTCCCCTTCCCCTTCCCCTTCCCTTTCATTTTCCCTTTACCTTTCGTTCTCCCCTTCCTTTTCCCCTTTTCTTCCCTTTCGTTTTTCCCTTCCCCTTCCCCTTCTTCTTCCCTCCTGAAATCGTCATTTTTAATCTTTTATTTTAGTTTATTATTTTTATTATATTTTTTATTATAATAATAAACAATATTCTTATATCAAATTTTCTTATTTTTTAATATAATATTGTTAATTGGTTTTTGATTTTTGGGCTTATAAAAAACAACTGATAAACATAAAAGCTATGAGGGTAAACAAAAATGATAATACTTAATCTTCATTATTATGCCATCTAGAATCTATATAATTAAAACATTTAGTCTGTATAAATAAATTATAATTGTGACCATTGCCCGTGATCTATTATAAGCTTATTAATCAATTAATACCCGATGCAAAGCAGCGGCTAAATTTATTCATATTGGATATTAGATGTATATCACGTATGATTATTCAATCAGATTATTTTGAAATATAAATTTATCAACGTAATTTTATTTATGTCACGTCGATGTTATTTAAGATAATAAAAAAATTAATTCTGTAATATTTAAAAATATTAAAAATGATATAAAATTATATACATAAATAAAAAAAATTCTCAATAATCATTAATAAGTTCGTCCAATAAATAATTACATCAATAATATTATAAATCAACTTAATTCTCCAATAATCATCATTGTTATTGATATATATTAACCAATTAGGATCATTATGATTACATGCATGTGATATCTAAAAATAGATAAAATCGTGTGATTGTTTTTTTGTTTATTTTCAATTCTTTTCTTATTAAAACTTACAAAAATGTACTCATCAACTCATTCAAAAGAAAAGAATAAAAGAAAGGAAATAATATGCCCACCTACCCACATACAAAAAAGAGAAAAGCAGATTTAAAATAAATAGTGGAGCTGTTAAGCAAGGTATGAAAATAGGATATACACGTATTTTTCATATTTTTCTTTACAATATGTTGTGGGTTGAGTCTTTCTTTGTGGTATAAGTGTGAATATATTTTTCAACGGCCATGTATCTATTGCTTGTTAAATATATTTGCAATTTCTTGTTTTTCTTTGTGGTATAAGTGTGAATATATTTTCAACGGCCATGTATCTATTGCTTATTAAATATATTTGCAATTTCTTTTGTAATATTTGCTTTAGCCTGGAGGAAAATGTTATGAAATAGGGCTGGATATTTTATGACATTTTCTGCCTTCCAATTACTTTATCTGGGGGTAGCCTGATAATTTGTCGTTATCCGTCAGTTGTAGCAACCAGCATTTTTTTACAATATTATAATTTTAAGAAACAAAACTTTTTCAAAAATTTAATAAAGAAAGAACTAACTTAAAAATATTATTTTATTATTCTTTACAAAATGCTGGCGCTGGAGTTATTTTTTCTCTCACTTATCAAATCCCAACATGTTTAAAGACTAATCATGTAGTACGCTGTGGTCTGGAACACCCGAGGTTTTTGACTACCTAGGGATGAAGTTGTAGGGTACTCCTGCCCGATAGGTTAGCCTCCTCTGACTTAGGGTCTCATTAATCGGGAGAAGAGGTAGTTTCTAAGTACCTTCCACATCAAGAGCGGATATTTTTTGATACTGTGCATCAAGGCGGTAATCCTATATCTGCGAATTAAAGAAAAAAAAATCTAAATCAAAAGAATTTGGAACCAACACATGTCAAGGTAATTTAAGCATTCTTTTTAAAAAAATTTAATCAAAGATTAATTTGGTTTATATACAGTAAACCCAAGGAAAAAGAAGATATAATGTATTTTCAGAAGAATATGATAGTAACGCATATCAAGGTAACTTAAATATTTATTTTTTATTTTATTAAAAAAAATATAATAACAAGATTTATTTTCTCTTTAAATAGCAAACTTCGAAAAAAGAGGTGGAATAAAACTGGAATAAATATAAAGGTATATTTTTTACTAATTTTTATTTATATTATTAATATTTTTTTTAACACTCTTTCTTTTTTCTAATCTAACGTTTGTTTCTACTAATACTACTAAACATACTAACATTTTCTATCCATTTTATTTTTCTTTTTTTTTTACTAACATTTTCTAATACCATTCCTTTTCTTTAACAATTTCGTTTAACATTATTCATACTAATATCTTTATTACTAAAATACTTTACTATTTCTATTTCTTTCTTTTAAATATTAAACAGATAAAAATATGTAGCAAATAAGTGAACACATTATTTTACACATAATTCTAATTTTTTATACAGCTAGAATAATTTTTATAATTTTTTGTAATTTTATTTATTTGTAATTAATTAACAATTAAATAAATAAATTAATATTATAATTGAATTTAAATTATAAATTTATTAGCATTCATATTATTGCATTAAATAAATATTATTTTTGATATGCGTTCAATAATAAAATCAGTAAACTATAGCTATTAGCCTATTAAGCCTATTAGGTATACTTCGGACATGTATATCGGCACTATCTGATAAATGTACGATATCTATTCGATATTTTACTATAATATATCGGGTATCTGATAAATCTATGATATGTGACTGATATTTGACTACCCGATATGTATAAGATATGTACATGATATTTACAATATATGTCACCGATTTTTTACATTTTTACTACACTTATCGGGCACCCGATATATGTAGTATTGTTAAATATTATACACATATATTACATATATTGCATACATATCGGGTACCCGATATGTACCCGATAACCTTGATTTTGACCAGTGCTATAAGTACACGTCCATGTCTGGTCCTAAGAGGGGTGCATTTAGAAAGAGTTGACTGTATTTAATTTAAAAAAATAGTTTAATATCTTTATTGTAAGCTTTTTATAATGATTTATTAAATATTTTTAGTTTAGCTTTAATAAAAGTCTTATAAATCTATTATCTAATATTATTTATATAAAAAAGTCTATTTTTAAAGTCTTCCGATTAATAGTTAACAATATGTTTAAAAATGTAAAAAATTACATTTTGTATAAATGGTAAATTTATTAGAATTTCCTTAAGTATTTGTCTTATTTATTATCCAAATTTCTCAGTAGAAAATCAATTGAAAAATCCTTTATACTATTTTTATATTAGTTATAATAGTAGATAAACTTTAGTACTATTTTAATAACCAATTTTTTTGTAATATATTTTTAAGAAAATTAAAGATTATCCCTTAAACGGTTTTGCAGGCAAATTTGCCTGCAATTTATTAAAAAAAAATATCTGTCATATAAAACTTTTTCAATAAAAGTCAGGTTATCATAAAATTTTACAGCAATGTTGTACAATATTTTAACTATCAAATGTATGGTTAAAAAATTGGCTGATTATTTAAAATTAAACCAGTATTTGACCTGTAAAAATGCTTATCAAACCTCGGAATTTTGGAATTTTGAAGTCTGAAGGTTTTTCAGTTTTATCTCATTATTTTCTTGCTCAATTTTTTTTATTTTCACTATGGATACTAATGAATATGATGAACAGGATTTGTTTATTGTTGATTTTCACGGAATATTCATAATATTACTGATGAACAAGACAATAATAGCGATAGTAGTGATAATGTTGAAGAAATTCAAAATGAAGAGAATGTTAGTGGTAGAGGTGGTAATAGAGGTAGAGGTAGAGGTCGGGGTAGAGGTCGGGGTAGAGCAAGAAATAGCAGTAGTGAAAGGGATAATAGAGAACAAGCTGTACAACTTCCACCACCACCTTTTTTTGACAATTTTCAACATACTAAACCTTTACATAAATTTACCGTAAATTTACCTAATGACTTTCTTTCACTATCACCTTACTCAATTTTTTCTCTCTTTTTTTCTCTTGAGCAAATAGAAATAATTGTTAAAAATACAAATAAATATGCTTATATGAAGGATGCAGGAGAAGGACGTAAATGGAAAGAATTAACAATAAAAGAGTTTAGAATTTGGTTGGCAATTCTAATATATGCAGGCGTTTTTAAATTGCCTAGTATTCGAGATTATTGGAATAGAGATAATAAGTTTCCTGAACATAAAATTACAACCTTTATGTCTCTAGTTTGTTTTGAACAGGTATTTGTTATTATGTATATTAATATTTTTATTAAATTAATTAAAACTTAATTTAAACTGTTGTTAATATATTTAGATTAAACGTTTCATGCATATTTCAGATTGCACTGTTCAGCCTCCATTTTGGTATTCTAAAGTAGACCCTTTGGCAACTCATATTCAAACAATTTCCAAATCAATCTGTATGCCATCATCAAATATTTCAGTTGATGAGATAATAGTTAGATTTTCGGGAAGAAGTACTCATACTGTAAGAATTAAAAATAAACCCACCCCAGAAGGCTACAAAATTCTCTCTCTGTGTGATGCTGGTTACACATATTCTTTCATTTTTACTTCCAGAATTCAAAACCAGCCTGAGGTTCAACAAGTACCAGATTTAAGTAAAGTGGGTAATGAAGTGTATCACCTTGTTTCTCAATTGCCAACAGAAAATAAATCATTCAATATTTATATGGACAATTATTTTCTAGTATTAAGCTTTTTAAATATTTGCGTGAAAAGAAAATTGGGGCATGTGGAACTGTTCGCAAAAATAGCGCTAATTTTCCACATATTCTTAAAATAGACAGAAAACTGGACTGGGATACACTTTCTGGGGTAGTTGTTGATAATGTGTTAGCCATTTTATGGATGGATAATGGCCCAGTTACTATGCTTTCAACTATTCACCAAATTGATAATGGAAATGAAAATCGAATTGAGAGAATTTGACATAGACCACGTGAGACAAGTACTAATGCAGTTAAGGTTCGAGCAGTTTTTGGGACTGCAAGTAAAAAATCTTTACCTATTCCTGTTGTAATTGATGATTATAACCATTTTATGGGTGGGGTGGACATTGCTGACCAATTACGAGGATATTATGGTACTCAATTACCAGTACGAAGAACGTGGATGCCGTTGTTTTTCTGGTTATTGGATACTGCTTTAATTAACTCATACTTAATATTAAAAAAATTGATGGAAATGTTAATCAAAAGGATTTCAGAATACAATTATTATGGGATTTAATTAAAGAAGATTTAGAAGGAAGTGATAAAAAGCCACATACACGAAATCAAGTTGATGAATTAACTAAACAATTTAAGTTTATTTATGTTGATCCTACTAAAAAGCAGCAATATGTTACGGCAAAATTTGAACTCCCTATAGAAAGATTATTACTGGAAGGTCATTTTCCAGAATGGAGAGAAACAAGGAGTAGTTGTATATGGTGTAAATATTTAGCAAAAAAGAATCAGGAAAAAGCAACAAAAAATCCTCCTCAATCACAGTTATATTGTATAAAATGTAATTTAGCCTTATGTTGTAATAAGGAAAGAAGTAATTGTTTTAAGGATTTTCATACATATAAGGAAGATGACGAATAAAAATGATATTTTATTTTAATTTTTCTTATTTAAAATTAGTTAATTTTCGTAACATATACATTGCACTTTTTTTATGAATTTTACGAAAATTATTCTTTTTTTAAGGCATTATATAATTTCGAAATCTTACTTTTAAATCGTAAAAATTAGCATAATAAAAATTATTTCTCGTAACTTATTTTACATTTTATTATTAAGGTTTGACATGGTCACAACTAAATCCCAATGAGTCCGTTGAGATTAAATACAAAATTATTTTAAAAATTGGGTTATCGTTAAAATGCAACGTTTTGATCAATGGTTAATTTTAATTTTTTAGTATGTGATCGGAAAATGATGATCACCACCATGTGATATAATATTTAAACTATTTGGAAAAAAATTTTTATTGGAATAGCCTTATTCTTCAAAAAAGTAAATGAGAGCTGAAATTTTGGTAAAATCGCAGGCAAATTTGCCTGCAATGTCTTACCGTTTAAGGGATAATGATTTTATAATTATTTTTATGAATTTTTATAATTATAACCGGCGGTTAACATCACCGGTATCACGTGATATTGATAAGTCATATGACTTTAACATTTTTTACGATCAAAAAATTTTATTTTATTTAAAAAGACATTGAACAAAAATTATTAATATTATAACTAAATTTCATTGGTTATATATCTTTAATTTTGCTTATTACATATCCTGGTATTATGACCTGTTTGTCCACAAACTTTACATATATACACTTTCCGTTTTGATATATTCTCATTTATTTCATGTCTTTGTATATGAAAATCACTAGTATTAGTATCAAGTATATTAAAAGGAGTTCTTATGAAGATGCTTGCTAAGATTGTTGTTGCACTTCGCGTATACATAAATTGGAATCAATTGGATTAATTGCACTATTTTTTGTATTAACATGACGTAAATTTGATTCTGATGCTAATTTAATCTGTTTGTTTGGTGGATATCCATATCGTTTCTGAACCACAGGATCCAAAATCTGAAAATTCGCCTCATCATTTGTAATATTTGTATCTTTAATAATGGCTTTTTTTTGATCAATAAACCCATTAATCATATCAATAATTTCATTTTTACATCCCATATCAAGTGCTAAGTTAAGAGTTTTCTTCATTTTTCCAAACCCATACGCATATTTAACTTTCTTCTGTGAACATTGTTTAATATCAGATGTAAATGTTTCTGGTACTCTAAGCTGATTAAAGATATGTAAATCTGCTACTATAACTAAGATTGCTTGCCATAACCTAGGGGCAGTGTTAGGCAATTGGACAATTAGACGTTTCGGACATTTGTCCAAACCCTGTCCAAAACTTGTCCAAAACCAAAACCTTTTTTTCATTGGACAGGTTTTAGACAGATTACATGACAAAAAATTTAATTTTGGGCAGAATTATGACTAATTTTGGCTAATTTTAATTTTAGTTCAATTATTAAATTATTTTAAAAATCTTTAAATGTTAATTTTTAATATTATTTTGATTTTACATTAATTTTTATTATTTAATTATATTAAATATTTACCTTTTTAACATTTTAACATTATATTTTTATTTTATTTTTAGTTTCAGTTGATAAATATTAGGACTCTTGAGCAGTTTTAAACTGTCCAAAACTATGTCCAAAACTATGTCCAAAATTGGTTTTGGACAGTCCAAAATTGTCCAATTAAAAAACCAATTGGACAAGTCCAAAACCCAACACTGCCTAGGAGTTTAGGCAAGATGGCGTTTCGCCAAAAAGCAAAATTCTGCTGAAACTATATTAAAGTTATATTAAAAAACTGCATCAGGAAATTTGTTTAGGCGTAATTTAGTGTAATATTTCGAAGGTTGTGTAAAATTTTGAAATATTACACCACCTTCGAAATATTACACTAAATTACGCCTAAACAAATTTCCTGATGTGGTGAAACTTTGGAGAAAGGTGAAACTGCTGAAACTTATTATAAAATGCCGAAATTGCCAAAACTCTGCCAAAACTATCACACGTCAAATGACCAAAAACAGGCAAAAAAAATGGCTAGAATTACATAAACTATTCGCAAATTTATATAAACTATTTACAAATAGTATAGGTTAATTCGCAAATAGCCAAAAACAGCCAAAAATAGCCAAAAATAGCCACTGCTTTTCACGCCATTTTTTTTGCCGATTTTTAGCATTTCGACCTGTGTATAATAAATCTATAGTAAAATTTTGACAAAACTAATCGTAGGATTTTGAAAAGGTTTAGACAAGCAACCTTAACTATAACTTCATTATTATTATCTTGTTGAAACTGTGTTACTACTTCAGCAGTTTCATTTTGTAAATCATTATGTGTATTTTGATCTTGAATATTCTCCAGGTACCATCTTCTGGCAATAAGTCCAATGTTAAATTTTGCCACTTTTGAATTCATCATGACATGAAAAAAATGTAAACATACAAGTCTATGATTAATTATAGGCAAATACGTACATAAATGGTCACCATCAATTAGCAAAATCACATAGTGTTTGTACGATTTTGTAATTCCAAAAAGTTTCTATATTTTAACAACATCAGCTAGTTGTATCCCTTCCATTAGAGAAAAAAAAGAAGTTTGTGGTATATTAAGTTGATCTTCAATAAATCCGCCATTATATTCACATTGATCGCTATCATCCTAATTAAGAATTTGTAAAACAATGATTCTGTAATTAGTTCACATAATTATGTGATGCCAAATGTAATTTTTTTTAACGGATTTTTGGCTCCTATATGCTATATCTTCACTTTAACCATAATTTATTACATATATTGTTTGAGAAAACGTTTCAAACACTAAATCTAACGCATAACTAAAGATATTACTGTTAGATTACGGTGCAGAACCTCTATAATAGGAACTTAAAAAAAATTGAATAAAATTTGATTTTATGATTGGATTTTAATTTTATAAAAAAAATTAAACTCTATTTATTAAAAGGAATTGATTTATAAAATAAAATAAAAAGTCTCAATTTTTCAGATTATGTAAGCATCACGTGATACATATATTAACCAATCAGAAATTAGAATTTTAGATATTAAAATTTATATAATATATTTATTTATTGTATTTCATTATAAACTGATGAATCAGGTATATGATGATGAGATTTGTATTTTATTATATGTATTTTTTGATCAAATTAAAGTAAAATTACTTAGTTTTTGAATTTTTTCATTTATAAATTCATCTGAACTGTCTTTTAAATATTCACTTGATGGTATATAATTATAATCTATAACATTAAATTAACCTATATTTAAACAACCTTATTTATTAAATCTTTTTTTGCAGTTTTAAAAATTTTTTTTCTTCTTAGCATATTAAAAAAAAAAAAATCTGTACATTAAATATGGCTAAAAAAACTTGTAATACAAAAATTTAAACTAGTCTCAATTTTAACTAAATTTAATCAATATATTTAAATTACAGATTTTTAAACAGCTAAAACTCAGCCAAAATTTAATTTAGAAAAAAAATAACCGATAATTTTTAAAGCTAATGGTCATATCTATAAAAATTATCGGTTAAATTTTTTAATTTAATATAAAAAAATTTTTTTTTAGGAATTTATAATCAATCAATTATTATTATACATAAGTAGTTGAGTATAGAGGTTCTGCACTATATTACAAAAAACTTTCTAACTCTTATTACCATTAATTTATCATAAACAAACCTTACAGACCCTAACTCTAATACATATACAACCAAAACTTCGTGTAAATTAACCTTCATATACCTTTATTGTCTTAATCATTTCTTTGGAAATTAATTTAGCCTGATATAATAATGACCCAAAGATCTGTTGCTATTGAACTGACAATATATGAGGCGTTAAATATCTTTTTATTAGTTCAACAACCTTAGGAAATATGGGCTCAATAATTGAAGGTGTCTGATTAGTGGAAAGACTTTGAAGATATGTATTATGGCAAGACCATTGTGCTTCATTATCTAATAGTTTCTGAGTTTGATTGTGTAAATTACACAGTGATAAAGTACTACTGGTACCTTCTTTAATTAAACAATTCATTACTTCTACTCTCTGTGTACTTTGAATGCCAGCTGTAAAAGTTTTAATTTGGAAGCATCTTGCCCATGCTTGCTGACAATTATTCAAAGTTCAAGTTAGGTAGGTTTGAATGGAAGGATATTTTTCAAATAATCGTGTCCAGCGATGATGAAAATCATTTTCAAATAGGCTATTTCAAGTATGTAAAAATTCTTTGTAGAATTCTTTATATTCCTTCTTCCCTAATTTACTTGCTAAATTTTTTTCGTAGGTTTTCTTGGATGTGAAAAATACAAAGATAAGGGGCATGCCAGAAATCACGTGATTATGCTCAATTAGAGACCTAACCCTTCCTACCCACCATGTGATTGAATTCTGATTGGCTAAAAAAATATATACAGTATAATATATACATCAGGAAATTTGTTTAGGCGTAATTTAGGGTAATATTTCAAAGGTGGTGTAAAATTTTGAAATATTACACTAAAAACGTAATATTACAAAAGTTTAGGCTCTTAAATTTGAATAATTATAGTAATTTAAGAGAATATTTCGCTATCTACTGATCCAATCAAGACGATCTATAGCTCATTGGAATCAGCTCATCAAGACGAATCGAATGGTAGTAAAATCGCATCTTTACGTTTGATAGATGACTTTCTATTAATTTAAAACTTTACTGCATACTATAGAGCATTCTATCAACTGTAAAAATGTGATTTTACTACCATTCGATCTGTCTTGATGAGCTGATTCCAATGAGCTATAGATCGTCTTGATTGGATCAGTAAATAGTGAAATATTCTTAAATTACTATAATTATTCAAATTTAAGAGCATAAATTTTTGTATTATTACGTTTTTAGTGTAATATTTCGAAATTTTACACCACCTTCAAAATATTACACTAAATTACGCCTAAACAAATTTCCTGATGTAATATATTATATTAATATATATATTATAATACAATTAGTTTGCTATCTAATAATCCAATTTACATAAACTTTTTTTTGTTTTGTAGCCCCATTTATGCTTTATAAAATAAAATAAAAATTCATTGAAATTGAACTGCTAGATGGTAAAATAATTGCAAAAAAACTTATTAATAAATAAATTACCATATATTATATATATATTATAATACAGTTTTTTCACTATCCAATAATCCAATTTGCATAAACTTTTTTTTTGTTTTGTAGACCTCTTTATGCTTTACAAAACAAAAAAAATTCATTAAAATTGAACTGCTATATAGTAAGTTAATTGCAAAAAAACTTTTTAATAAATAAATTACTATATATTACATATATATTATAATACAATTATTTTACTATCCAATAATTCAATTTGCATAAACTTTTTTTTATTTTGTAGCTCTCTTTATACTTTATAAAACAAAAAAATATTTAAAATTGGACTTTTAGATGGTGAGATAATTGCAAAAAAAGCTTCTTAATAAACAAATTATATATTATTTATTATAGAAGATATACTATTACCATAAAAGATATATTGTGACACCTGATTGCAGGACCTGACCCCCACCCACCCACTAAATCACGTAATTTCTGGCACGTCCTAATGATGAGTTTCAGGCACACAGGTCAAAATCAAAAAAATCGGACATATGGAAAATCAGCAAAAATCAGACCAAAATCGACTAACATTACAAATCAGCACATCTGATTGATGCCAATCAGACAATTTAATAAAAATCCAGCAAAAAATCATCATATTTGATTGATGGTTGATTGATGCTAGTTGAAATCAAAAAAAAATCAGACAAATGGCAAATTAACCTAAAATTTGCCCAATATTCAAATATGCACTTCCGATTTATAGAAAATTGACAATTCAGTAAAAATACAATAAAAATTCAATAAAAATTTGGCAAAAAATCATTATATTTGATTGACGGCTGATTAATACTGGTTGAAATCAAAAAAAAAATCAGACAAAATAAATGACAAATCAACCTAAAATTTGCCCAATATTCAAATATGTACTTCATATTTATGAAAAATTGACAATTCAATAAAAATTCAATAAAAATTCAATAAAAATTTGGCAAAAAATTATCATATTTGATTAATGGCTGATTGATGCTGGTTGAAATCAAAAAAAAAATCGGCTAATCAACCTAAAATTCACCTAATATTCAAATACAGTCGTCCCCTTCTATAGTCACCCTCTATATAATCACTCCTCCACTTTAGTCACACTATCATTTAGTCCCAACCTTTTTAAATAGAAAATACCCTCTTCATAATCACAGATATATTATAAAATATAATCACACCAGTTATAAGGCCCGATATTATAGTAGATATAAGAAATTCGCCCCTTATATAATCACAGTAAAAATTTCCCCCCTATATAATCACTATAATCACATGTTAAATGATATTGTGCGACTATGATGATCTATAGATAAAACGCGTCTATAATGCGCAGTTTGTGCATTTTGCGCAGTTCTTGCATTTTACGCAGTTCTTGCATTTTACGCAGTTTACGCAGTTTTGTTTATTTTACTTATATAAAAATGCCACCAATCCAACTAAAAAGAACTCGTACTGCTATTAGTTTTGATATTAAGAGAGAAATCTGTGAATATATGGTAACAAATCCCAATGTAAATCAAGGTGGTGTTGCTTCATTTTTTAATAAAAAATATCAAAAATTGAATATTGATAGAACGACTATTAATAAAATCTGGAAAAGCCACGAAAAATGGCTTTCTGTTTTATCTACTTCACAAACTTCACATATTTTTCGCCATCGTTCTGTTCAATTTCCAGAACTTGATAAGGCTATGCAAATTTGGACTTCACAAGCAATAGCTGATGGAGTTCCTTTAACTGATATGATCTTTGCAGAAACTTCAATTTTTATCCAATGTCATTAAGATGTTTAATTAGAATCGGGACGGTACTGTGCCAATTGAATTCACGAGTAAGTTAACATTAAGTAATGGAAAAAATTATGATATACTGCCATATCCGTTACTATGCATGGTAAATCATTTTAAATGTATTACAGATACATCACTTTAACTATTGTAAAAATATCGTAACAGTGCATTTAAATTATTTAAACTATGTTGTTAAATAACATTAAAGTAGTACTTTGCAGAAACTTACAAATATGACAACAATATGTCTTGGTTTATATAGCAATCATATAGTGATAATATAACAACAATATATAAAATAATGTTATAAATAATTATAATACGTTGAAAATATCTCAAAATCTCAAAATGATTCATTTTTTCGAAAAACAAGATTTCCTCCAATAAAATTCACGAACTTGATTTTACCATAATTTGTGGTAAATAAAGACCAAGAATAAATTACTCTTGACCAAATTTCTTGTGGTATGGAATTAAAAATGCCGTTAAAGCCTGTAAACCGGCAACTTCATTTCTGTTTTTGATGAATAATAAAGTAATATAATAAAATATGTTTATTATGTTAGTAATATAATAACGCCATAAATAAACTATATTTCTATCTATACTGCATTATAATAATATCTGTTTAAAATATAACTTTGATTTGCTTCATCATGCTCAGTATTACATGTATTCATACAATAAAGAATACACATGGATTCCGATCAATAAACGTAATTGGAAAATTTTGAAACCACCGTAGTAATTCTTTAGGCTTCTGTAAAATAAAAATAAAATAAAATATTGGTATCATTTCATTAATAAAAATGGCTAAATAAATTTTAAAGTTTCTAAAATTAAACTTACCATCCAATCCACCCAAGAACCAGAAATCCATTTCCTATAAAAAAGAGAGGAAAAGTAAATATTAATATTTCCTTTAAAAAAATTCAATATTGAAATAATTTAATTTCAAAATTTTGAAACTCACCATCCGATCCCATTCGTAAATTGGAAATCTGTCCTATAAAAAAAAAGAAAAAATGTTAATCAAAATTTTTTATCATTTTCGAATTTTTTTCCCAAAAATTACCTTCAACCTACTAATTTCGTACAACCTGAACAATATAAAACCGTTATCATACTGAGAGTTCTGATAATTAAGTCAAAGGAAAACTACAAAATAAAAGAAGTCCTGTAATTAAATGTCTTTTCACAAGGGTTCTGAAGACAGAGTCCTACAAAAGAAATAAAAAAGGTTAATAAAAACTGTTTTTTAATCAATTACAAAAAATTTTTTTCGATAAAAAGTTTTTTTTAAAAAGTTTTGAATTCCTTTTTTTGAAACTTGCCATTATCTAGGATTTCAGTTTCCAAGTCAGAGCTGATTTCCTACAAAAGTGAAAAAAAAAAGTTAAAAACTTTTCTTTAAAGTTTCAAATTTCTGTTTTCGAAACTTACCTATCCTACGCGTCCAGACTTGTCTAAAAATATGAAAAAACCAAGGCCATTTTCTCACTGAGATTCTATATGTCCAGGCCGTCTAAAAAAAAAAGAAAAAAAAAGAAATTAGTAATAATTTTAAAAAACAAAATAAAGAAATTTTTTAAAAAAGTAATATACTCACCAAAATCCTATGTCCAAAGAACCAAAAAGTCGCCTAAAAGAGAAAAGAAACAAAATATTAATAATTATTTCATTAAAGAGTTAGGCCAAAAACATTCCTCCTTACCAAAATCTTTGTCCAAAAATATTCAAAAAATATCAAAATTTACATCCATCTAAAAAAAAAAAAAAAANGAAAGAGAGATAGGGGAAAAATGAAAAGAGGGAAAGGGAAATTATGAAAGAGAGGAAAGGGGAAAAAATGAGAGAGGAAAGTTTACCAAAAAAAAGTTTATGCCGAAAAAGTTTAGACTTTTTTTTTAAACTAGACTTTTTCTAAAGTTTAAAAAAAGTGATTGTTATATTGTTAATATTAAATCACATGATGCGCGTAATACTTAATTTATTACAAAAAGTTTGTATAACCGAAAATATGGACTTTTTTTTCCCCATTTAAAATACTTATTTAACGGGCGTCTATTTGATTTTTTGCATTTTTATAAAAAATTGGATTAAACTGAACTGAACCGCTGGTTTTTCAGTTCTAATACCCAAACTGAACCAAACTGAATTTTGAGCCAGTTTTGGATCAGTTCCCTGGTTTAACCCGAATTGTTAGGAGCTTTAAAAAGGATATTGAGAGAAAGTAAGGCCGTAAGGGGATAAACGGATAAACAATAAGCTGAAAGAGTAAACAATAAGCCACATATCACGTTAAACAATAATTATCATGTTTTTTATTTATTTATTACAACAATAAATCAATAATAATATTCAATTTCACGTGACACTAGTGATCTTAACCGCCTGTTATTCAAAGTAATTACCTACTTAAAATATACTTAAATTATACTTAAATTTAAATTTAATATATTATAAATATATTTTTTACATACTAAAAATATACTTATAATGGTCTTATAATATACTTAAATTTTAATTTAAATATAATTTAAATATATTTTAAGTATATAGGTAAAAATTAAATATATTAGACATATATTTTAAAATAATTTTAAGTATATTTTAGATATATTAAAAATATATTATAAGTATTTTGCAATTTTTAAATTAAGTATATTTTAAATTATACATGTAGTCAAAACCTTCATGAAGCTGGACAAGGTTTCGGCCTTTCAGTAATTTAATTATAATAAATTATTAAAAACTATCCAGAAATCCATCTGAAACTTCAAAGACTTTATATTATAGTTTCAGCTGAATGTAGAGATTAATTTTTATCATTTTTTAACTTAATTTTGATTTAAAGATGTGGCCGAAAATCACGTGAAAAGGTTTTGGCTACAAGTATATTTTAAATATATTTTAAATATATTTTAAGTATAATACTTTTTATAGGATATGTAAACATAATCATCTAAAATTTGTTAAAAGATTTTACTAGATTTTAGAAAGTGTAGAGAAGTTCTTAAATAATTTCAACCTTATTAGCAACAATTTTAGCAAGGCTTATATATAAAGTTAATTAAGTGGATAAAGGTAAATAAGTTTAGCCAAAATTGTTGCCAATAAAACTAAAATTATCTGAGAATTTTCTGCCAAATCTCAGTTGGTTATTTTTATATACTTTGGAATTATGCTACAAAGTCAAAATTGGCCTAAAATTAAAAATTATTTTGGCAACATGCATATATATTCAAAATCCTATACATATTTTAATAAATATCAGCTAATTTATATTAATATAAAAGATAAATGTAATTACATTAAAATAACTTTAAATATTATTATTACAGTAGCAAATAATACATGTAATTTAATCTACCTATTATATTACTTCCTTTGCTATTCCTGGATATTTAATTTATAAAATCATCCTTTTTACTAAAACTCAAAAAATCATTTTTTGCAAATATCTTATCCAATTTTAATGAACTTTTTTAAAAATAATAGAACTTAATAAGGGTTATAAAATAAAAAATTTTCATTAAAATTGGATGTATAACCCTAATTTTTAATTTTTTAAAAAATAGTTTAATTTATTAAAAGTATAACAAATGTGACTTATAACTTGTTTTAAAGATATATCCAGAATCCTATAATTGGTATATACAAATTATAAATTATTAATTTTACAAATTTTATTAATTATTTTATTTTATAATAAATTAACTATTAACTATTAGTTAGAATAGCATTATCACTTTGCATATCATTTTCATAAATTTCTATATTAGAAATAGGAACATTTTGAGTTATATGAATTCTTGAATTTTTCATATATTCTTTAAAAGTATTTAATGCTTTCTATAAGATATTAACCAATAATAAAATTAAAATTAAAAATTAAAATTAATTTATTTAACTAATAATTAGTCAATCAAATTTAGTTAAGTAGATCCAAACCTGATAAGTATCCTTCATAGGGTCAAGTACATTTGACTTGATATTTATATTTTTAACCTTATCTAAATGTCCTGCTCTTTTTAACATATTTTTAAAATATCTCACCTATTGAAATAAGAAAATATATAAACCATATATATAAAGCAAATTTTTATCGTCAAACAATTTTAAGAACGCATACCTCTTGTGTTTCTACAAGACTATACGCTTCTCCATTACGCCCAGCACGTGCAGTTCTTCCAACACGGTGTACATACTTTTTCATGTAAACAGGAACATCATAATTAATTACTGTATTCACTCTATCTAAATCTATACCTCGAGCTATCAAATCTGAGCATATTAATCTAACATAAAAAAGGAGACAGAATTAGTTATAATATGTCGGAATTAACTAATAATATGTCGGGATTAATTTCAATGTTATACTAACAAACGAATATCGCCACGTTTGAACTTATTTAAAACATTTTTTCTTTCATCCTTTGATAAATCACTAGAATATTCTGCAGCAATTATCGATCCCATAGGGATAGTACTTGTTATTGCATCTATAGTACTATTTTTTTGAATAGACTCTTTTAACCTTGAGTCTTCAAATAATTGTATTAATTGGGCGAGCCTATGAGCAGAATCTACAGACTTAGTAAAACAAAGTGCAGATGATATGTGAATGTTGTAAAGAAGATATATAACCATAAGAGGTTTCATTGATGATGAGGTGATAATCATAAATTCCTATAAATCCAAAATAATAAGTTAAATAAAATACAAAAATTTTTCAAATTATTAACTTACTTTCAATGTAGTTGGAAGTGTATATTTAATTTCGGCTTCATCTTTATCTAAAGATTGAATGGATATATATTGTGGGTTTACAAGTCGTAAACTTGCAATTTTGGCCGGGTTGTGTGTAAGGGTCGCTGAAAATAATAATTTTTGAATCTTTGATATGATAAATATAAAGATTATTAATAATATTTTTAATAAAGAATAATGTAAGAATAAATTCAACTTACTGCTGAAATTTTCGTTTCCGACATGTCCATTTTTGGAAAATTAAAGAAAGTTTCCATCGTTATAGATGATATTGCATCATCATTATTAAATGAAAATCTATTTATATACTTTTTATGTTATTGTAATTATATTGATGATACACGCATCTAAACCAACTTAAGTACCAACCCTATGGAATCAAAGTTAATTGTCTCTCTCTTATCAGTCACATTGCTTATAAGCCAGATAGCTTTAAGAGTATGATTTAACCAATCTTGATAACTTTGATTAAGTAGTCGATCAGCTTCATCAATAATCTAAATTTGGTAGAAAGTAGATACATATAAGAAATAGCAAAATTTGTATTAAATCCAAAAAAAGTAACACACCAAAAATCGCAAGTGTTGCAAAGTAAAATTGGGCGACAGTGACAAATGCTCAATTAGTCTGCCAGGTGTAGCAATTAAAATATCAACTTTACTTGTCCCTCCCATAAACCTATGATTTAGGATAAGTTAATTATACATTAAAATATAAAAATTACTACTATACTGACTCACAATTCTGGTGAACTGCCAACTATTTGTTCTTGTTCGTGAATAAATGACTGTTGACCTGTCATTACACCGATCTTTAAGTTCAAAATTGAAATTAAATTTAAAGTATTCAAATAAAATAGATAAATTAGAATAGAATGTAAATATTATTACTTTCAAAGACGTTCCTTTACAGAAAACATCAAAAGTTTCTTTAACTTGTGCCACAAGGTCTCTTGTTGGAAGAACAACAAGTGCCCTTAAACGTGTTACTACGCGCTTTGAAAGGATCTTATAGTTTAAGACATAATATATTTTAATATAATATCTTGTTCGCCTGATTAAGGGTTTAAGAAAAATGCTTACTTCAATAATTGGAAGAACATAAGCGAGCGTTTTTCCACTTCCTGTTGGAGCAGAAACACATATATCACCAGGATGCTTATGAATGTCTGATAAACTTCGATTGTGTACCAACAAAGGGATAATTGCTGTCTGAACTGCAATTGACAAGAGGTCGTTATTGTCAATCAAGTTGAAATATAGAATTAATTTATAGTTTCATTTTAAGATCAACTATATGACCAAGGAAATATTAACCTGCAAAGCATTCATGGATCCCTAATGTCTTACATCGATTTTTCAATCGAATAGATAGCCCGAGAGAAGGATCGTCAATTGAAAGCTTTGTTTCTGGATCTATGACAGTAGGATTTGCTAGCCAATCTGGTATTCCCAATAGCTTAATGGCAGCTGCCTCTTGAGGTGTCTGTATTGGTTTATCAAATGTTGGGAACGAATGCAACACTTTAAATTCTTCAGGTTCAATTTGTCTTTGGTGTACTGAGTTTATTCCTTTGTCTTCTTCATTTACTTCAAATATTGGATCGAATTCAGATACAACTCTTTTATTTGTACTTATTTTACTCTTTTTTTTGTTTTTAATGCTATTCTCATTGCTTTCCCGAGTTTTAATTAGTTCAGGTTTCTTTTCAAAATTTTCCTCTTTTGCGATATATTTTCTCTTAAGTTCAAGTTTATCATTAATTCTAATCAAACGCTCTGTCGCTGAAGCAGGAGACAAGTTTTGCAAATCAGCATCAACCTCATATTTTTGAATTTGAAACATTGTACAATAAATTGGTTCAATTTTTTGATCCCAAAAAAAAATTTTTTTTTGATAATCAAAATTTGATAATCATTTGTATAATAATTCCACATCAATTTGCTAATTGAATCGATTTTTTTACGACGAAACTTTTAGCATGTCTCAACAAAAAATAGGTATGTTCATAATATAAAGGAAATAAAATTCTTTTAATGACACACTGCAAATAAGTGGCGCAGTAACCAAACTTCTTTATCGAAATTCTACCTTCTGCAAAGCAATCCTATCGGTTTACGACAAAACTGGTTTAATCGAACTCGCAAAAGAACTTAATGACCTAAATATACGTCTTCTCGGCTCTGGCGGAACAGCTAAAAAAATCCGGGAGGCAGGTATTCCTATCTCGTATGTAACCGACTACTCTTTTTTTGAATGATTTCTTGAAATATAAAAATTGTATTCTCAGTTATTGTCAACTGCATGTAAATATAATAGGGATATATCGGAAATAACGAACGCTCCTGAAATATTGGGTGGACGTGTTAAAACTCTGCACCCAGCAGTTCATGGTGGTTCGTATTATTTCATCACGTGATAATATAAATGTCTTTTAATGATCATGGTTAAATTACATAGGTATTCTTGCTCGTAATATTCCGAGCGATGAAGCTGATCTTGCTAAACAAAATATCAATAAGATCGACATTGTTGTGTGCAACCTCTACCCTTTCAAAGAAACGATATCGAAAGAAGGAATCAGTATTACAGAGGCTGTCGAAGAAATTGATATCGGTAAGATTTATTGTCCCCGATTATTATACGGTGAACGAAAGGATATATATAATATTCACTATATTTATTTTTAAGGTGGTGTTACTTTGCTGAGAGCTGCGGCGAAAAACCATGATCGTGTTACAATTCTTTCTGATCCCAAAGATTATTCTAAATTCATAGCTGAATTAAAGAGTGGAAGTATATCTGAAAATTCACGTAATTGGTTTGCTTTGAAGGTACGTAACAATTCATTATGTATTATTTATAAAATCTTTAGCATTTAATTACATTAACGTAATATGTAGGCTTTCGATCATACAGCTGATTATGATGAAGCAATATCCAATTATTTCAGACAGCAATATGCCAAGAATATTTCACAACTTACTTTGCGATATGGTGCAAACCCACATCAAAAACCTGCTCAAGTTTTCGTAAAGGGTGGTCAACTTCCAATTCAAGGTTTAATTTACATTTCTTAAAATAGAATATTTGATGATATCATTATTAATCATAAAGTGTTATTAGTTCTCGCCGGATCACCTGGTTATATCAATCTTCTTGATGCACTTAACGGATGGCCTTTGGTCAAGGTTTCTTATGAGCTTTCACGTTAAGCCTATTCAAAAATTTGTCACTTTAATTATATATGTTTTCGTTTTACACAAATATTAGGAATTGAAAACCGTCCTTAAACTTCCTGCTGCCGCATCATTTAAACACGTATCCCCCGCTGGAGCCGCAGTTGGAATCCCTTTGAGTGATATTGAGAAAAAAGTTTATTTTGTAGATGATATAAAAGAATTAACGCCCTTGGCCAATGCATATGCTCGTGCCCGAGGTATTTATTTATTATATCTATGCAACATAAGCTTAATTACAGTATCTTGTTTCACATGTTTCATATATTAATTAATAGGCGCAGATAGAATGTCTTCTTTTGGAGATTGGATCGCTTTGAGTGATACTGTTGATGTTCCCACTGCAAAGATCATATCACGTGAGGTATTGTTGTTTGAAAGTTAGATTTTATAAATTTATATATAAACTGCCTTAAAAGCGATCTATGTCATCGATAGGTATCGGATGGTATAATCGCGCCTGGTTACGAGACAGAAGCTCTTGAAATCTTGCGTAAGAAAAAAGGCGGTAAATACACTGTTCTTCAGGTTGTATTATATTAACTATATATTTTAAAAATCTCGTGACATAAAAATTAAATATGGTTAAAAATATATTATTAGATTGATCCTAACTATGAACCACCAGAATTGGAAACACGTCAAGTTTATGGATTATATCTACAACAAAAACGTAATAATGTTCAAATTGACGCGAACTTATTCAACAATATTACAACAAAGAATAAAAATGTATGCAATCTTTGATTTTATGATGATTTTTATTTTATGTTTTTTTAACTGGTTTAAATGTTTAGCTTCCCGAGTCAGCAATCACCGATTTAATTGTTGCTACAATCTCTTTAAAGTATACACAATCTAATTCCGTTTGCTATGCAAGAAATGGTATGGTAATTGGATTGGGTGCTGGACAACAATCGCGTATTCATTGTACAAGGCTTGCAGGAGACAAGGCAGACAATTGGTGGTTACGTCATCACCCCAAGGTTTTGGCCTTTGATTTCAAGAAAGAATCAAAAAGAGCTGACAAAAGTAATGCAATCGACTTGTATATACTTGACAAAATTGGCGAGGTATATATGAATTTATAAATGTTAATTGACTTCCATTGATTGAAATAATGATTTTATTGCATATTTAATTAACATGTAGGGTTCCGAGCGCGTTGCATGGGAATCACAGTTTAACACAATTCCCGAACCATTAACAAAGGAGGAACGTAATAAGCATTTAGCATCTTTGTCGGGTGTTTCCCTTTCGTCGGATGCTTTCTTTCCTTTCCCTGATAACATTCATAGAGCATATCAATCGGGTGTTTCTTATATTGCTGCCCCAAGTGGATCAGTGCAAGACGACGTAGTTATTAAAGCAGCCGATGAACATGGAATTGTTCTAATGCACACTAATTTAAGATTGTTTCATCATTGAAAATTACTGATCAAGTACCGCAAAGAAAATTCGACGTGTAAAAATAATTAAATTATTATATTTGATTAAAAGCTAAAATTTTGCCTCAATCATTTTTTCTTATGATTCGAATAAAATAACTTCATAAAAGATAAAACGCGATTTCCTGCTCACGTGATATAACTGTTCGCTTGTTAACACGTCTTGTGGGGAAAAATATTTACATTTGATCAAGTGTTAGTATAAAATCTATTAGTAAATGGTAATCTTTAGCAAATCGGAATCTCTGTGGCGAATTTGATCACTGTTAACTACTTTTTTACATTCATTATTTTATTTGTGATACAACTAATATTCAATGTTGTGTAACTTTGTTTATAATCTTTTATTATAAAAACATACTATCAACTTAACATTTTAGCCGAAATTCGTTACCGTATCTGAGAATTTTCAACGAAAAATAAATTCAAGAAAACGTTGACTTTTCTCAAAATAATTATGAGTTCATATAATTACCCAAGAGATCGTTCACATACTTCAAGGTCTTACTCTTCAGACCAACAACCTCAGGGTCAGCCACCTTTATTACCACCACCTACTTCTACACGTTCTTCTTCGTTCAATTTAAACACTTTACTGAATTCCTCCGAAGAACAACCGATTACAAACTATTTACCACCTATAACACAACACAATACACAACACTATACACAACCAACAATTCCTTTTTCATATCATTCTCAGCCGTCAAGTAGTTCACATTACGGGCACAATCATACTGATTATTCCTCATCATTGCCACACTCTGTGCCTATACAACATCAGCCTATTCCGCCTTTTAGTACTGCCAACTGGGAATTTACAGAGTCTCCGACCCGCCAAGTAAGTTTTTAAAGCTTTTCTTTGCGCAGCGCGTATATACTGTAAAATTTTTTTAATCTTATTTAAACAACGTAATTTTTCGGTGTATTTTCTTTTTTTTATTATTGATAGTTACAAAATCCTCCATATAAAATCGATCACGGTAAAACAATTAAAAGCTATGATTGATCTTTGTGTAATAGTTTAGATAAAGATATTTTAACTTTCAAATTTTTCACACATCAAGGACCATCATCCTTACCATATTTCAACTCGGGCGTAAGTCAAGCTCCCGTACACCGTATTCGCGAAGGAACCAGTATAGTTCCACAAGAGGTAAATAAAATCTAATGTTTATTGGATTTAATTCTATTTATGAAAGCAAATCTTAAAATAGTATTTTAATTAATATCTTCTAACTTGCATTATATTATTTATCTTGATTTTAGACATTATTGCGCCCGCCACCTGTAATGTCAATTCCACAACTTTTGAGCGGAGACCCGAGCGAAGATTTGGATTACTCTTATTCAAAATCACAAAATGGTTCTGGTGCATATGACGAATATAGTAGAAGATCAGCGGTAGCGCAAACAACGACGTCAGACAGCGCTGACGACAAAGACAGTGCTGCTACTGTAACTGATGTCAACACTGATAATGATGTAAGAGATTCAGCACAATCGGGGGATACAACCGAAGAAGAAAATCTACTTCCACCGGTACGAAAACCTTCAGAGTCAAAAACCGGATTGCCAGTGGTAAATTATTTAGTTTATAAGAAATTTGTACATAGAAAAACATGAATTTAATATTTCCTTTTATTTTAACCGATCTAAGAAATCAAAACCAATTCAAAATCCTGCACAGACATCATCACGAGCGATACAAGAGCAAGAGTCACCTAAAGGTACAAAAACTACTCATATACCTCAAGCTACGAAAACCAAGCCCGCTCGAAGCCGTAGAGCTGCAAGTTCTTCATCAATAGGCTCAGTATCACAGGCCTCCCAAGCTCAAAAAAATATAAAAACTGTTCGATTACGTAGAGCTGCAAGTTCTTCGTCTCTTGATTCGGCATCTCAAACTTCCCAAGTCACTAAACCTATAAAAGCAATTCGAGTCCGTAGAGCTGCAAGTTCTTCTTCTCTTGGTTCAGTATCGCAGGCTTCTCAAGTTTCAAAGGTACCAGAAGTTATACAACCTTCACCTCAACAGAAATTAAAAATTATTCAGAATCAGAAAAATAAGCAACAACGTTATTCCGTTAATCCTAAGCCACCAAGTAGATTGGAATCTCCCAAACCGTCACGTTCAAATAAGAATATTCAGGCTCAGCGCAAAGACATAGGACATACTTCGGGTTCATCAACGGTAACGGCTGCAGAGATGAAATCAAAATATGCATTAAGTGAACCGAGCAGTGATTCTTCAAGTAGTGATTTGAGTGACACTGAAGATAGTAATTCTGATTTTAGCTTAGAAGGAAGATATAGTGAAGATGTCGTAAAGTACATGATACAATTACATCAGCGTACCAAACGTACTATAGATGAGTATGAAAAGCGATGCAAAGTAAGTAATTTTAGTAATTTAAAATTAATTTTTTCGGTTTAAAACTAAATAAACTTAATGGTATAAAACTTAGGAAAAGAGAGAAAAACTGCGCAGAAAATTTCTAACTCGTATTAACAATCGCAAAGCAATCATTGCTAAGGTAACAGAGACAGATAATATTAATAAGAAACGAAAGCGAGCTCCGCGCAAAGCGAAGAAGAAGCATGATACAAAACGGGCCAAGAAGCTGCTATTTCCGGAAATTGAAACTGAGGTAATAGTTGAATTTAATATATATCTATAAGTTTCATTATTAACATATACGATTTATTATATAATTAAAGAGTGAAATTGATGATAAGAAGCGTGAATCTATTTCTTTGAAGATTCGAAAACAAAAGGAAGCATTAGAGTTAGAAGAACGAAGAAGAATATGGAAAGATATCGTCCGAAATGCAATACCAAGAGTAAGATTTTTACAAACTGGATCATTTTTCTAACAATCTTCTTAAATTGATTTCTACAACTTTTATTATTTTAACAGGTACATAAGATCGTAAATCAATCGATTACGTCACGAACAAACAACGCTCGCAAAATTGCTCAAATTTGTCAAAAAGAAGCTCGTAAAGCTACTACAAAGTGCTACAGATCCCAAAAGGATATTCAAACCAAAGCTAAACAAGCAATGCGACAGGTACCTAATTGATATTCTCTGGTAATTTAATTGATAGGCATAGTGCGTATTTTAAATACGCTTACTGGTTTCTCGTTATCACATAGATGCTGATGTTTTGGAAACGCAATGAAAAAGAAGAACGTGAGCTACGTAAAAAAGCCGAAAAAGAAGCTTTGGAAAAGATGAGAATTGAAGAGGAGTTACGAGAAGCTAAGAGACAAGCGCGCAAACTTAATTTCCTTATTACGCAAACCGAGCTTTATAGTCATTTCGTTGGCAAAAAAATAAATCGTACGTGGATTTTTTTTTGATAATCGCATACTATTAATTTGATATATTCACATTCATATTTTTTTTTTACTAGCTGAAGATGAACATGGAGAATCTTCGGTATCTGTTGTTGCTGTAAGTAGCATTCAAGAAACTGGATCTTCTTCTGACGATACAAACAATGATACAGAAATAGATGCTGAAACCGATTCTCAAGCACCTACTTCTTTCAAAGATATCAATTTTGACGAAGGTTTAAGAATTTAATACTAATTTCTATTAATTCATACTCTATTATCATATTTTAACATTTATTTTAATATATGCTTTTTATAGAGGATGATATCACACTTGCAGCGAAAGCTCGTGCAAGTGCCAAGAATGCTCTTGCGCAAGTTAAGGCACATACTAAGATTTTTGATGGGGAAAGAAAAGCTCTACATATAGCTTCTGGTAAATCTGATCTTTCGCTATCTAATAACGATTGTAAGTTTCTTTTTTATTATTAGTCATTATTTTTTGAACTTTGCTTTTACTAATCCTTCGCTGGTAATTTATAATTCTTTAATAAGTGGATCATATGAACTTCCAAAATCCTTCAAGTATGCCGTCAGCTGCAGAAATAAAACAACCATCTTTACTCGCAAAAGTTACTTTAAAGGATTATCAGTTGAGAGGATTGAATTGGTTAGCTAATCTCTATGAACAAGTAAATAATATATTCATTTATTAAATCCTATATGATTATTAAAAACATAACGTTTGACATTTAAAATTAATAATAAATTTTGTAAAGGGTATTAACGGAATATTGGCCGATGAAATGGTAGATATAGGTTCCCGTTATTTATTTAAATTTTAATGTACATTAATAGTAATGCAATTTATAGGGTTTGGGGAAAACAGTTCAATCCATATCATTGATGGCACATCTCGCAGAAGTAAGTTTCAAATATCAAATTCTATTTTTATTATTAATTAAAATTCCCTAACCCTGAATTTTTTTCAAGGCGCATAATATTTGGGGTCCTTTTTTAGTCATTGCTCCAGCTTCAACCCTTCATAATTGGCAAAAGGAAATTTCAGAATTCCTCCCTAGCTTCAAGACATTACCATATTGGGGAAATCCCAAGGATCGAAATGTATTACGAAAAACTTTAAATAAGAAGAATATGATTTTCAATGCTGATGCACCTTTCCATGTAGTAATTACAAGCTACCAACTGGTAACTACAATTATTAATACTCATATATCTAATTAGTGATTTAATTAATTTTAAATTTATGTACATTTGTAGATTGTTCAGGACAAAGCGAATTTCGAGAGGACAAAATGGCAATATATGATTTTGGACGAAGCACAAGCCATCAAAAGTTCTTCAAGGTAACGATAGCTGCTTTTTGTTTGTGAAACTTAAAAAGTGTTAGTTATTTTAACACTTTTATAATAATATTGTTTCAGTGCTCGATGGAAGACTTTACTAGGTTTTCAATGTCGCAATAGACTACTGTTAACTGGCACACCGATACAAAATAGTATGCAAGAATTATGGGCACTTTTACATTTTATTATGCCAACACTCTTTGATTCACATCAAGAGTTCAGTGAATGGTTCTCTAAGGACATTGAAAGTCATGCTGAAAATAAAGGTTCATTAAATGAACATCAACTTAAGAGATTGCATATGATTTTAAAACCGTTTATGTTGCGTCGTGTTAAGAAAAATGTTCAGAATGAACTTGGTGATAAAATTGAGAAGGAAGTATACTGCCAATTGACTGCAAGACAACGAATGCTTTATCGTGGATTGCGTGAAAAAATTTCAGTGTCTGAATTATTGGAAAAGGCTGCTACATTACCGGATAATGACAGCGTTGATAGTTTGATGAATTTGGTTATGCAATTCCGTAAGGTTTGCAATCATCCAGAATTATTTGAACGAGCAGATGTAGTAGCTCCTTTCTCCTTCTGTAAATACAGTTTGACTTGGATGATCTCGCGCGAAGGAGATAATTTATATCTTCCTTATTCAACAAAAAATTTGATCAAATACGAAATACCTAAAACAGTATATCGATATGGCGGTTTGTAATTCTCAATAATAATATTTGTAAATAATATTAGTACTCGTAATAATTTTTATTTGTACGTTTTTATGCGGACTATAGGTATTTTAAATATTCCTAGCCATCATTCTAATGCAGGATTCCGAACTAAAACATTTAATCATTTGATGAACATTTGGCGACCTGATTACATAAATGAGTCCTTGCGCGATAGTGAAAGTGGCAAGTTTAAATATTAATAATTTACATAATTTTTCTAAATTAATATATTAATCTTTAATTCTAAAATTCTAATATTATTTTAATCTCTTAGACACTTTCACTTTCTTGAAATTTATTGATACATCTCCTTCAGGAGCATCACAAATTTTCTTTGGGCATATAATAAAAAGATGGATTATCCACCTTTTGCAAAGAACACAGTGTTCGCGAAGAAGATTTTACTTAACTCAGGATGAAAGGTAGTAAATGAATCTTTTTTTTTTATCTGAACCATCGGTCGATCATAAATTCATTTTTTTTTTATTAGTTATCAAGACGCGCCGGTTAATACTTATGCTCGCTTTTTGATCATGGAAACTTCATCGTCGATATCACCCATAAATGCTGATGAGTCATCTGTATTGGGTAATTTGACAAATATATTTGCACAATCATCACAGTATGAGCTTGCTGTTCTAGATCCGTGCTATATACCAAAGGTGATCGCTCCACCTATTGAGTTTGTCTGTCGTGACAAGTGTTTTTACAATGATAAAGAACGGACTATGTTTGATAATTCAATAAGAGCTACTCTAATCGGGGTCGATAAATTATTGAGTGAGAAAGACCGAGTTTTCAGTCCTATTGGTCAATTCTTAACAGGTCCCGAAGGAAAAAGTATAATTGGACGACCATTATTACGAGGCCAAGGCTTTTCACATATGCGTGTTCCAGGTATGCGTAACTAAAATCATTCTTTTTATATTATAGAAAGTTAACTTAAATTATTATTTCCTAGCTGTGAAAAAATTAATTATGGATTCAGGAAAATTATACAAGCTTGATAAACTGCTTGAAGAACTTAGAGCTGGTGGACATCGTGTCTTAATTTATTTCCAAATGACACGCATGATTGACCTAATGGAAGAATATCTCTCATATCGCCAGTACAAATATTTGAGACTTGATGGTTCTTCTAAGATTTCAGATCGTCGTGATATGGTCGAGGATTGGCAAACTAAGTAAGTATTATTACGGCACAAAATCATCCAGGTGAATTTTTGCCCAACGTTGCTACTATTCAATTTGGTTTCAAATCATAAACTATTGTTAAATTTATTTAGGCCCGAAATATTCATATTCTTATTAAGTACACGCGCTGGTGGACTTGGCATTAATTTGACTGCAGCGGATACAGTCATTTTTTATGACAGTGATTGGAACCCTACGGTTGATCAACAGGTACATGAAATCTTTTATATAATAATTGTTCAATATAACATATAAATTTATAACGTATATTAATATTGCTACCATCTTTTAAAGGCTATGGACCGTGCACATCGTTTAGGTCAAACAAAACAAGTAACAGTATACAGACTCATAACAAAAGGCACGATCGAAGAGAGGATCTTACAGCGAGCCAAACAAAAAGATGAGGTAGTCACCTTAGGTTATTTATATCATATATAATTATTTTAAACTCATAAAATTTCCATTATTGTTAATAATAGATCCAAAAGGTTGTTATATCTGGTGGTGAATTTAAACAAGTGGACTTTAAGCCTCGCGAAATTGTATCTTTACTTCTCGAAGACGATGAACTCGAAGCTAAACTTCAATTGAAACGTAAGGCCGAGGAAGAAGACATCAAGAAAAAGGGCCGTTCGTTAAAGCGTCGTAAGAAGGACGCGCCAACCACAAGTTCTGTAGTCGGGTCATCAAAGAGCCTCGAAGACTTATGGCATGAAGAAGAGCCGCCAATGGCAGAAACGGAAGGCAGTGGTGTTACAACACCGGCTTCTTCAGTTGGAGGAAAAAAGAGGAAGCGAGTTGCGAAGGCAGCTCCAAAGCCAGCACCTACAAAACGCCGTTCCACTAGAGCCACTCGTAGCTCTAAGACTCCTGTCTCTGAACCTATGAACATTGATGCATAAAATAATTTTCCTTTTTTTAAAAAATTTTAATTTTACATTTTTTTTGCAGTCCTACTCATCGAAATTTTACACAATGGGCGGGATCACTTATAATAATCGTTTGTCAAAATAAAATAAATGACAAATAAATAAATAAATAAATAATATGTAAATTTTTAGAAATCACCATTACACTATTAATAAAATCAAGCTAGAACAGTAAATTTTATTTACTCAAATATTTACGTCAGTGATTACATATATTTCTAATTCTAAAGTTTGATTGGTCGATAACGCGTTTTATAATAACTCAAACACCACCATCAGATATCTTTTATTTTCTACTTGTTCTTTCCTTTTCATAACCGTTAAAGAAATTTTTAACATATCATAAAATGAGTCAACAGTCTGCTATCGTACAAGTAGATCATAACTCACTCGATAATTCTACAAATTTTATTGAAATACAGGAAATGCACATCCGAAAATCCGAACGTTCTAGAGAAATCTTACCACCGAAGACTACACAAAAGTAAGTTAATTAAAAGAAAAGGAGATATAATGTGCATCTGAAATTAATTATTCTTATTTTCTTTAAAAAAGTTTCGTTTCTCCGACAGATAGAAACTTGTCACCATGTACCAAGCTGTTGCAAGCAAAAAAAGAAAAAAATTGCAAAAAGTATATTTCCAATGCAATTTTTTTGCTCTACATAATTATTTTAAGTATTTTTTGTTTCTAATTAGATATTTATAGTTTTAAACCAGTATTTCTTAGTAACATTTTCACTAAAGCTTTGAAAGAAGATCAAGAAAAACAGGCCAAAGCTGAAGTTTCTAATATGGAATCATCCAAAGATATATGATTATTTATTCTTACATTACAGTAAGAACAAATCGTGATTTTACTAATTCGACATAGAATAAAAAATTGGAGCATATTTTCTTCATTTTATATGTTCACAATGTTAGAGTGATTAAACATTTATCGTACATTTTTACTTCAGCTTTATTGTTAAAAAAGAAAATTTTATTACGAATAAAACTATATTAACTTTAATATGAAATATATGACACAATGGACCTATATTCAGGAATTCTCAACTCTTTGAGTTGATATTACGGTCACATAATTCTGGCCAAGAACATTTACAAATTCTATCTGGGTTAACTGTACGTAATGTAAGCGAAATTCTTTGTCCACGTTCTCTTACCTGTCCATTTTCTAATAAATCACTTTTTCGAGCCCTTTTGAAGATAAGAAAGAAAAAAATACTTTGTTAAAATAAAAACTTCGTAAGTTCCAATTTACATCCCTATACAAACCTTACAGCATGGCTCCAAGCATATCTTACATCATCTTTAAGCATCATTAAAGATCTTCTTGGTAAATCAATATTTACTACTTTATCAGTTTTTAAATTCTTAAATTCCATTATAACAGGATTTTCTAAACTAAAAGCAATAACATTTGGACCAAAAGAAGAATGATGATCCATATGAGGTGGAATTCCCGTGCCAACTGGATAAAGTTGTATAGTCAATTGTTCAAATTTAGGCATTGAAGGAAATAACTTATTTAATTTTTCAAGTAATGGATTCATATACGATGGAAGTTCTAAATTTGATAATTTTGTTCCAACTTCGTTTAAATCATAATTAAAAGAGTAACCATAATGTAACTAAAAAATAAAGGAAATAAATTAAATTCGCATCTGATTTTTTTTAAAAAAATCTGGGTCCCAGTTAATTAATAAATAAAACAAATACATACAACAATCCGATCTTGAACTGGAATCCATGATTTTGTTGAATATACATGTTGTAAAATGTTTTTTTCTTGTTTGACCGTAATAAAGTCTTCTATTAATATTAGTCCTGGAATTTCAACTTTGTCTGAATTCTTGATTTGGTTTATAAAATTGTTATATGTTAAATTAACATATTCAATAAACATCATTTTTCCATCTAAATCATCGCATGGTTTCTCATTAAGTGTTTCCCTTGCACGAGATGCATCAGAAGGTGTATTAAATATAATAAAGGAATATGGCTGCAAAAATGGTAAATAATAATCAAACAAATCTAAATCTTGAAATATAAATGATAGTTTACCTTGCCATGAGTTAATTTTAGTCCAAGATAACCATTAAAAGACTTGAAAATATTAGATATCTTTTCTGTAGTTACTCCTCCGATACCACCAAAGCAAATGTTAGTTAAACATAAATACTGTGTAGGTTCCGAAGAAAAGATTTTTTTAAAAGGAGCTTTTTCAATTCTTTCTATAACTTGTTGAGCCTGTAATTTTTTTAATTGGACTTTTTTTAGTTTTCTTAATTCGTTACGTGTTAATAATGAAGAATTATTATTTTCTCCTTTTGATAATGATGTAGATAAATCATTTTCAATCATCGAATTGTTGAAAAAAAAAGATGAATAGATTTAGATTTTTCTTATCAAAATCCACTTACAAACCAAATTTATTTATGGCATAATGACAAAATATTTGCATGTGATTTTTTTATTGTTTATGAAAAAAAAAATATATATATATATCTCGCGTTCATTAATAGCTTTTTCTTCATTCTTTAAAACGTATAAAACAATGGCTTCTCTCCCTACACCAATTACTCCCGTTACGTCCGTTACTCCTGCTACACCTACTACTACAGCTGCTCCTGTCAAAACTGAAAAACGTAAGCTGGGAAAACCCTAGGTTATTTTTTTCTTTACATAAATAATCGAGGGTATTAAAAGAATAACTTATTTTGGTCGTCATTAGCTCTTCCGTTCTTATTTCATTTTACCGCTGGAGGTATAGCAGGAACAAGTGAAATTCTTGTTATGTGAGTATTAATACTTTTTTCTTAGACGCATAAATATAAAATTTACAATTGAAAATTTTATCTTTAATGATAGGTATCCGCTTGATGGTAAGAAAATTATAAATTCCTCAATTGATATAACAAAACAATAATTGATTTATTTTCAATAAACTACTTTAGTTGTAAAGACAAGGTTTCAGTTACAAGTTTCTGGTGCAGGAGGAGAAGCATATACTTCAATTATGGACTGTTTCAAAAAAATTATTAAAAATGAAGGGTAATTATTATTATCATTATTATTTAATGACTAAATCTAACTAAATATCTATTTTTGTTTGGCGGATCATTAGATTTAGTAGACTTTATAGAGGAATTCTTCCTCCAATCCTTGTTGAAGCACCAAAAAGAGCAATAAAATTTTCAGCTAATGAACAATATTCTACTCTATTTAAAAAAATTTATGGGAAAGACAAAATGAATCAATCATTATCTATTCAAGCAGGTATTTCTGCTGGTTGTACTGAAGCTGTTGTTATCGTACCTTTTGAACTTGTTAAAATTCGTCTTCAAGACAAAGGAAATGTAAGTATAAGGTATGATAAATTATTCTATAAGATAAATTAAATTATTAATTTTTTAATTTTTTGAAAAATTAGGCAGGAAAATATAACGGTACATTTGATGCGATAACAAAAATTATCAAACATGAAGGTCCTTTAGCTTTATATAATGGATTAGAAGCTACAGTATGGCGTCATGCTACGTGGAATGGTGGATATTTTGGTGTTATCTTTTCTATTAGAAGATCATTACCAAAAGCAGAAGTTGGTATTCTTTTTTCTAAAAAAATTATATATCTGATATATATTTATATTAATAAAGTTTTCCCCTTTAGAATAAACAACAACAACTTAGAAATAATTTTATTGCAGGAGCAATTGGTGGCACAGTTGGTACAATACTAAATACGCCTTTTGATGTAGTTAAAACCAGAATTCAAAATGATTCTGGTACTGTTAAAAAATATAATTGGACTTTACCTGCTGTTAAAATTGTCGCACAAGAGGAAGGGTAAATATAAACTAAAATATTTTTTAAAGAATTTGAATGATTATTAATAATGGTAATAAATCATAAAAAATTTTTTTTCACAGTTTTGGAGCTCTCTATAAAGGTTTCGTTCCTAAAGTACTTCGTCTTGGACCCGGAGGCGGTATTTTATTAGTAGTATTTGATCAAGTAACAACATGGATGAAAAAATATTTGTTGTAAAAAAAAATAATAATTTAAAACACAAATATTCCGTAAATAGAATAAATAGAAAATGATTTCATTTTATTTAGCTTTTTATGCTTATTATAATACTATAAAAGAAGTTATAAATATGTAATATATATATAGCATGTATATTATAATCTGTACAAGATTATAACTTAATTTATATTTATAATAAAATAAATCAATAATGAGTGTTAATTTTAAGAATTGCCTGAACGAAGAAATGCCACAATAATGTATAAACTTTACACGAATAAATTTAAAATATTTCAGCTTCATAACATTAACCCTTCACCTAATAACAAAATGTTTAATTCTTTTGCCAATATATTAATTTCTACTCCTCGATATTATTTAACTATAATAATAATAATAAACACATTAATGATATACTAACCTTAATTAAACTAATATGAAAAATAGACATCCAGTAATGAATGAATGAATATACACATACACTTTTGGTTTTTTTTTCTTTTTTTATAGAAAAAAAAATGAATTTTTCTATTTTAAACCTGTCGATTACCAACATTTCATTTAAGTTGTATTCGCGCTATTAACGGAACCATTATATTGAGAAAATATGGGCTGCGCCGCGTACGCGAGATTTTGCGGTTGTGATACAGAATTATTACTCACATTAGGTGGTTGGCCGGTTGATGGATTACCATATGCTTGAGCAACAAAATTGGTAAATTGTTGTGTACCAAATGGTTGTTGAGATGCGAAATGTGACATTTGTTGCTGAAAATAAGGAGTTTGCAAAGCATGATAAGCCTGGTTCATTCCCAACCGAGTTCCATATCCACCTTTTAAAAAAATAAATAAATAATGAATAAATAGATAAATAAGGTAAAATTAATAAAGAATATATTCTTACCAGTATTATTATAAGTAGTACGATTTGTATCGACACTAAGGTAACTAAAATTTGTTCCAATATAATTGTTGCTGAAATTATGTTGAATTTTAATCTTATATTTATAAAAGAAGTTTTTTTTTAACCAATTTTTAAGTGAAAAAGATGACTCACTTGTTAATTCTTTTATTACTACCAGGAGCATTCGGATCTCCTTTAACTGAAATTCCATTTGGTCCACTAACATTAGCAGCTTGAAGGCCTTTTGGGCCTTTGATCAAGTCAAATTCCACCTGTATAATATAATCAATATACATGTTAATATATACATAAATAAATCTTTATGTTAAGTGTGTGTGTAAAATACAATTATAATTGATAATAATTAATAATTAAACACATACATCCTCTCCCTAGAAATATGAAACGAAATATAAAAAAAAAGAGACGAGAAAATATAGTAAAATAGTATATTATATTAACGTTAGTAATAGAAAACGCGAAAATGCACTGAATAAACTAGAATTTGCACTTATGGTACCTCAGCAAGACTCTTAAAACCACCATTGTTATGAATTGCAGTATGATGCACAAAAACTTGAATAAATTAAAATTCAATATATAAAAATAAAAGAACAAATAAACAAAGTAATTACAGATTATAAAGTATGTTCACATATATTAATAAATATAAAAAAGCAATTATTTGATTAAGAATTTTAAAATATGATATGCAGATTGGTACAACGTAAAAAAACTTCAGACGTGTGCACAGGCCAACATTTTAATCGAGACACAAAAATATGATGAGTCTGCGCCACATTTTAAGTAAAAAAATATCATTATTCCTTTTTTTGGAATAAAAAAAAAAAATTCTCAAATTCAAAGATTTTCTTGAACGCTAAAACATCAAAGCATGATAAAATGCGCAAAAAAAGTAACAATTATAAAAATGATTTGAATAAAAATATAATCCCACCTTCTACTTTTTCGCTAATACCGAGATTATGAGGAATGATAAATCCGTATCCTTTCTGGCAGTTGAAGAACTTGACTTTACCTTGCTTACGACCGTAAGGTATTGTGTTCATAATAAAAATCACGCGTTTAATTTAAAGTTTTATTAGCTACGAGACAAAGTAAAATATTATATATTACCGAAAGTCGAGAACGCAAGTTACAAGGGACAAAATTTATATTAATAATAAGTTCTAAAAAGACCGAGTAACTCATAAAAGGTCATAAAAAACATTTTCAAAAGTGGTTGATAACTTACCAATTTTGAGATCTCGAAAAGGTAGGTATTATATATAAAATACAGAGTTTAAAGAAATACGAGAACAAATTGTAAAAAATGTAAAAGAATTATAAATTAAACAAAAGGAAAATGAAAGTTGATATATTCTTGCGGCTTAGAAAATGTCCTATGACTTTTCAAATAAAATAAGAAAAAAAAAATCTTTTTTTTTTTTTCACTAATAAAATTGGTGAATGATCGTTTAATATATATATATACTTTTGATAATCGGTTTAATCGGGTACTATTAGTAATTTAAAGGATATATGTTGCGTCATAAAGTAGAAAAAATGAATCATAAAAATTGATTCGTAGGTGGCAAATGGCAATGAAAATCAGAAATAAATACGATAAAATCATTAAATTTAAAAGCCTATTTTCTCAGAAAATTTCATTACATTATCTGTCAATAAGATGTCAACCTTCGTTTTGTTGTAAATAACAAATTGTTTTAATCACTATAAAAGATTAATTTTGATGATTAATAACAAAAATCAAAAATCACACAATGGTAATTTTTTTAAAAACAGTGTCGTTTTATTCATTCACAATTATCCAAAAAAAAAATGCATCTTATTATGCAACTTATAACAATATCCGGAAATTTTAAACAAAAGGTAATAAGGAAAAATATGAAAGACGAGGCCAATAATACGGAAATGATTGTCATAAATAATTTTATTAGTATTTTTTTTCCATACAATTGAAAGTTTTGAAAAATCAATTTTATGTTCATTTTTGTTCATTTTGGAAATTTTTAAAGCGAAAACTTAAAGTTAAATTCTTGAGTACATTAAGTACATTACGAAAGTTATAAAAAAAAACTCGATAACAAATTTGTCATAAAACTTTTCGTTATTTACCCATTTATCGCAGTAAAGTTTTCAAGCATTTGTTAATAATTAAAATGAATCAAATTTACTGCCTAGTCATCTAGTCAAGTTCTAATATAATAGAAATAATTCGTAGCATACGCATGATCAAACACAAAAACTGTGGCGAATAAACCGAAATTTCATTCGGCGACTACTATCGGTCCAATTAATAAATTAATTCACACCCCCCTACGTTTATGTTACATCTATATATAAGGGGTTCGTTTATTTATTTTTATTTTTATTTTTATTTTATTTTATTTTTTTTTCTTTTCCGCCACACTTATTATTATTAAAAACATTTGATTTATCTCTTTCGCTCCATTAATTGTCAAATAATACCGATTTAGTATTGAGTGCGTGCAAGGTGGTAAATGTGAAAAGGAACTTAGATATAGAATTTTTTTTAAATTTTGATTTCTTCACTGCAAAAGGAGGTTTAAAACGCATATGGAACAAGGCTTAGAGAAGTAAATAATTCGGTGAATAAAAAAATGTTGCGATATCGTAACTATACCATATGTAGATAGCACGAATTTTAAAAACGGAAACTAAAAATAATTCATGCACATAATTTATAAAGAACAATAGGCAAACCAATTTTTCTTAGTAATTTGCTCAAATTATTTTTTTCCAAACAGATAGGAAATTCCCTTTTTTTTTTCAATGAAAAGTTCTTCTTGTTTATCTGAATTTAATTATTTCGGAGTTATTTTGTATGCCACTTTTCTACTTTGAACGAATAGAACTTTGCCAACTAACTGAATATAGTATAAAATATCCAAATCGGATAGTCTAATGTTACAGGTTTTGTATTGAAAATTATAGATCGTACAGCTGGAACATAAGATATGCAAGATACGGTGATACGAACTAATAACTGTTGTCCTTCCTTAATCAGTATTTAAAACCGAAATTTTTTAGAAAAGGGTCTTTTCTATTATTATCATTTTTTAAAATTCGAATATCAAAAGATGTCAAATAGAGTAGATAACCCAAAAGTGTATAATCCTTATTCATATCATCGACCACATTTTATAAGATGGAGAGGTTCAGTTATTCCTAAAGTTCTTCCATCAACTATTGTGGTCACTTTACTCGCAGTCATTGTTTGTATTGTAAATTTAGAAACTAAAGTAAAAATAGGTATTCCATCAACCTTTATTCCTGTGCTTGGTTTTGTCGTTGGTTTATTATTAACTTATAGAACAAACACTGCTTATGATAGGTAAGAAATTATAAAAAAAACAAAATTTTTAATATTAAGATTTCTTCAATTAACATATTATCTTTTATTTTAGATATTGGGAAGGAAGACGTCTTTGGGCGGTAATGGTTGTAGCTATACGTAATTTAACTAGAAATATTTGGATAAATATAAAAGAAGATGACGGAAAAAGCGATTTGTTAGAAAAGAAGACAGCCATTAATTTATTAATAGGATTTGCGGTAGCGACAAAACACTATCTTCGTGAAGAAGATGGACTTCTTCATGATGATCTTAAACCTTTAATTTCAAATATTAAATCGAATTTACCAGGGTTTAAACCTTTCAATGAAATGGATCCATCATCCGAAGTTAATCATAATCTTCCATTAGAGATTACTCTCTATTTATGTTCTTATATTGATAACAAAAGACAAAACAACAAAGTTGACGTTCCAACAACAAATTCTATGTATGGAGCTTTAAATACGTTGATTGATTGTTTAACTCAATTTGAAAGAATTTTAAGAAGTCCAATTCCTTTAGCTTATTCTATTCATTTAACTCAAACTGTTTGGATTTATTGTCTAAGTTTACCTTTTCAATTAGTTGATAGTCTTAAATATATAACTATTCCTATTGTTTTCCTTGCTTCATTTATCTTAATCGGTATTCTGCACATTGGAGGTGAAATTGAAAATCCTTTCGGTTATGACGAAAATGATTTGGATTTAGATGATTTCTGCGGGTAAAAATTTTTCTTTTGAATTTAGTTTACCTTACAAAAAATTATAACTTATTTCCTTTTCCTTTTCTTAGCACTATTAAACGTGAACTTGACATAATTACTTCCCGCAAAAGACCGACCGTTAGCGATTGGGTATACAACCCTGAAAATCATCCGTTTGGTCGAGAAGAAATCACTGCTTCCGAAGCTCGTAAACTATCTATAGATGAAGTTCGTAATTTGCTTTATAAAGAAAATGAAAGAAATTCTATCGAAACTAATATTATTCGAGAAGCTATTCAAGAAGAGAAGGATGAAAAGGATGAAAAGGATGGAAATTCCAATGTCACAATTAAAGTGGACTAAAAAGCAGCTAGTATTTATAAAAAAAAATTGTAAAAATTAATTTAATAAAAACATTTACACTAATTAAATATATCTACGCTCCTGTCAGAATCGGGGAAAATATATTAATAATAAAGAACAATACATAGCTTTATTATATATCACTGGGTACATCTGCAGGTCAGGTGAGGTGACCTTATAGGAAAATTTATGTATAGATTTTCGTCAATAAAAAAATTATCAACAAGTGTAAAATATGGTAAACCTGTCACAGAAAAAAGTTTTTCGTCCTATATTCGAGTATGGAACTTTTCTTGTATCGGATAATGATCAACGCACCATACAGTGCGCATGCAGCTCGCATACATTTATGATTTATCTCCCTTTCATTGTATGTAAAAAAAATTGATTCCTTCGACTGAATATTACATTAATCGGTAGGGAGGTGCTTAATTTTTCTGGAGTATTATTGTATTACTTATATATACAGAGAGTGGTCAAAATTATCCGATCACTTTTCAAAGTAAAAAAAATTTTATATATATAATAAAACTTAAATATAATTTTATTTATTAATTTAAATAAAAATTAATAATAAATTCGCAATTCTGAAGTATGTTATTGATTAGTTCTACCCATAACATATAAAATCTTATGTTACACTATATATATTAAAACCTTTCTTTACCATCACCCCCTAAATATTACATAATAATTTATTATTTCTGTAACCTGTTACGTTGCAACAGGATTAATTATGCACTCTCAGAAAAAATATATTAAAAGAAAAAATTAGTAAAAAAAAATAAATAAATAAACATATATAGGAGGTGAAACCAAAAATTTTTTATATTAGCCCTACGCATAGGTTTTTATGGTAATTTGGTTAGTATACATTGCGCAAAAAATTGAAAATCACCCTCAAAGATTTCAGGGTGGAATCATACACATGATTGTCTAACTGAAAAATGTTTTATTAAAGAGAGTATTCTGTTTCTCTTCTGAAGAAACAAAGTTTCAAGGATATAAATTACCATGAAATTATGTAATACTAAATGTATTGCATTAACTGGATAATACATGTAATTTCCGTCACGAAATCATGACGATTGGCTAAAATACATCTGCTAAAAATCACGTGCACGTTCCAGATCTCACCGGTCACGTGGAGTGAAATTTTAATTAACTACTCCACCAAAAAATTTTCGGTAACGTGACTTGATGAGTTTTATTGGTCAGATTTATTTTGTACAACATTATCTTAGAAAAATTTTCTCGGCTTTTTTCAAGAAAAAAAATAAAATAAGGAAACATTTATCTTAAAAATACTTGTAGATTTTATAAAAAAAAAATTTTAAAGAAACGTTTAATTTAAACATTTCTTATCAGTTATAGTTCTTTTTAAAATAAGTAAATAAATTATTTATTATTTTAGAAATTTAACAACAAATCTTCGTGTTTTATTTATATAATTTAATAATAGTAATAAAAAGATAATTTTTATAATGTATTAAATGGAAAAATCTTATTCTTATTCAAAACTTGATAGTTTACAGTACCTTTATACGCCCAAGGTTGTAAATAAATTTTGTATTTAATATAAAAAAACGTGTTTTTATTTTCACAACAAAATAAAATACAATAAGATTAAGAACATAGAATAAAGTAAACTATAATAAAAAAGAATAATATATATTTCAAGAGAAAAAACATGCAAATACAAAACAGTTGGAGTGAGAAGTAAGAACTATGAAAAATATCAAATATATCTACTATTTTTAGATTAGTAGTACAAAGTCACGTTACCAAAAATTTTTTGGTGGTGTTCTTGAGATAGTTATTTTAATTGGTTACAATCAAAGAAAATTTAAAAAAAAATTACATATCAATGCAAACTCAATTTTAAGGCTTATTATTTTTTAATGTATAAAGTATTTACGGTAATGTATTAAGTTTTTTTACTTAACATTATAATGTATTATAAATAGTGACAAGAAAATTGTACCCAACCCTTATCAGAATAATCAACCTGTAATCGAAGTTTTCTAGGATGTTTAGGTAATATTACTTCTTTAATCTTTAATTTTTCTGGTGTTTTCATACATTTTGGAATTGTATAACTATTTTAAGATCGCCTCCATTTAAGAATGATTCAGTTACTGAAACAGACTTAACAGACTTACTTTGAACTGCTTCAGCAATTTTCTTGGCAAATTGCCTTGTAAAGAATAAATATATTACAATTATAAGCATTGTGTGTGGGATAATAACTAAAAATAATTAATAAGTACCTTGAAGTTTAAAACCGCTATTAGAAGCATTAAAACATCTGGAAAATTTTTTTCATCATCAGACACCTGCATTGACTCACTACGTTAAATACAGCACACATAACTAAATGGATTATCAAAACATCATCAGCCCTAGATATTTCAGAGTTGGTGAGTAGGATAATCACTGTAAACTATTCCTGAATAAGAAAGAGATTACGTATCTGAATGAATTACCCCTACGGTTTGCAGCTTTATGCTATTATCTACTTTATTCATAATTTTAATAGCATATCTTTTAAAACTTTGAGAGTTTTTATACTTGACTCTTTCAAGAATTTAAATTCGTGATTATCAATCCATATTTTCCTGCTTCCCCAATTCCATATTCATCATTTTCTTGTGCATTTTTCCTGTCAGTACTTGCAATGTTTGTACTCTCTCCACTTTATAAATAAATAAAAAACCCTTTTAGTTAGAAATACAATGACTAGGTACCAAAAAAGAATATATTTAGAGGCGTGCAGTGTTGTCATAGGGACGGGACATGTCCATGGACGGGACGGGATGGGACAGTCCAGGACACGTCCAAAGATTTTAGCAATGTCCGGGACATTTGGACATTAAAATCACGTGATCTTAATTATAAATTATAGCCCATTAGGTGCTGTCTTGATAAGACAAATTGTAAACTTGGACAATTTTTGGACGGGACGTGAACGGGACATGGACAGGACAATATCCGGGACATTAAAATTTTGGTGGGACATGTCCCATGTACAACACTGGAGGCGTGCCAGAAATCACGTGATTATGCTCAATTAAAGACCTGACCCCCACCCACCATGTAATTGAATTCTGATTGGCTAAAAAAATATATATAATACTATATAATATATTATATTAATATATATATATTATAATACAATTAGTTTGCTATCTAATAATCCAATTTGCATAAATTTTTTTTGTTTTGTAGTCCCATTTATGTTTTATAAAATAAATAATAATTCATTGAAATTGGACTGCTAGATGGTGAAATAATTGCAAAAAAGCTTATTAATAAATAAATTACTATATATTATATATACAGTCAGCCCCCTTTATAGTTACATCCCTTCCGAAAAAAAAGGATGTGATTATAAAAAAAGTCATATGTTGTGACTATAGAAGAGGTTTTTCTAATATATTTATTAGTACATTAGGCCAAAATATGGTGTGCTTATAAAGGGGAATTTTATATGTTGTGATTATACAGGGTAACTATATAGGGGGTTGACTGTATATTATAATACAATTATTTCACTATCCAATAATCCAATTTGCATAAACTTTTTTTTGTTTTGTAAACCTCTTTATGCTTTACAAAACAAAAAAAAAATCATTAAAATTGAACTGCTAGATAGTAAGTTAATTGCAAAAAAGCTTCTTAATAAATAAATTACTATATATTACATATATATTATAATACAATTATTTTACTATTCAATAATTCAATTTGCATAAACTTTTTTTTTTGTAGCCCTCTTTATACTTTATAAAACAAAAAATAATTCATTGAAATTGGACTTTTAGATAGTGAGATAATTTCAAAAAAGCTTCTTAATAAACAAATTACAATCCCCTCTTGATATAACGAACCCTGCATCCCAGCCGATCAGGACTTCATTATAAGCAACTTCTTTAACACTATAACGAATTATTCAGTATAGGTATATTGGTCATATAGATAAGGTTGCTTGTCTAAACCTCTTCAAAATCCTACGATTAGTTTCATTAAAATTTTACTATAGATTTATTATAGTTTCAGCAGAGTTTTGGCAGTTTTGGCATTTATAATAAGTTTCTGCAGTTTCACCTTTCTCCAAAGTTTCGCCAGTTTTTTAATATAACTTTAATATAGTTTTGGCAGAATTTCACTTTTCGGCAAAACGCCATCTTGCCTAAACCCCTAGGTTTCGGCAAGCAACCTTACATATAGATCATGTGACTTGCTAATCTAATTACTGATAATTCAATTACTAACATTTTTTTTATTTTTTTTATTGTAGTGAACTTCCCAGACTTCAAAATGGTCGCCTGAAACGAGAAGTAAGTGGGAATAATTCATTTTTTTTATTAATTTCATTTAAGAACATTTACTAATGTTCTTTTTTTATTTTTTTTTATTGTAGTGAACTTCCCAGATTTCGAAGTAGATGTCTGGAACAAGAAGTAAGTGGGGAAAACTCATTTTGTTTATTAATTTCATTTAAGAACATTTACTAATGTTCTTTTTTATTTTTTTATTGTAGTGAACTTTCCGGATTTCGAAATAGACGCCTAAAATGAGAAGTAAGTGGGGACAATTCATTTTTTTTTATTAATTTCGTTTAAGAACATTTACCAATGTTCTTTTTTTATTTTTTTT